AAAGAAGGGCCTGGCTCCCGCCACAGGAAGGGAAGCCAGTGAGTGTGTGGTTTAGTGACTTCTCGTTTGGCTTTGAAAATGGACGGGTCACCCTGTTTTCACAGGACTTCTCCTTCCTGTGACTCCAAATTCCTTAGAATTTCTCCAGAGAGGTTACACAAAATCGGGTCTCTCTCCAGTAACACTGCACAAGGTGTCAGGGTTAAGTTTAGGTGACGCACGACACTTGAGGTGTGGTGGTGTGAGATGAGGAGGCAGGAGGCGACGCTGAGCCAAAAGCAATGATCAGGCCTCCCGCCCGATGGGCTGGTGTCAGGACTGTGGCCACGGTGCCCGGGCCTGGGCAGGCTTCGAGCCGTTCGTTCGTGGGAGTCCCTGGCGGGTGCGGCTCCAGGCCCTGCCCCGGGGCGGGGGGCACTTACACTCTCCCTCCTGTACACCGTGCGGATGCAGCTGATGGTGTCCCCGTAGTTGACGCCGGCCTGCAGGCGAGTCTGCGGAGAGATGCAGTGACGTGAGGGCCCAGGACGGGATCATTCACATCCCCGCTGCCCCAGAGATGCTGACCTTGTGGCGCCGGGGCCCGGAGAGGGGAAGGCCCTGCCCCAAGTGACCTGGCCAGGGAGGAGGGCTGGGTTTCTGTCCCCACCAGGCCTGCGCTCTGTCCTCTACCTGCACCGCCTCCCTCAATGTCCCATTCAGACCTTGCTGAACATAGCAGAAGTCTTCCTGGTCTGAGAGAAGAACAAAGGCCCGTTTGTTGTTCCAAAGTGATGCCTGAATGATCAACATGTGATCCCTGTCTCTTGACTACAAAAACTAATCCGTGGCCCTGCTCTGTCTGCTGTCCACACTCTGCCGTCCTCAGTATTAGCAGAGCGACTTGTCCTTCTCACCCCCCCGGAACCCCCGCATCTCCCCGCTGGAGGATGGGCTGGTCTCCCCACTGGTCTCCCCGCTGGAGGATGGGCTGGTCTCCCCACTGGTCTCCCCGCTGGAGGATGGGCTGGTCTTCCCTCTCACCCCTTCACCTGCATCTGCACAGCAGTCACGCTGTTCTCTTCCAACCACAGTGAATCGCACCACTGCCATTCAAAGTTCACTGGTGGCTTCCCAGCAAACCTAGAGTAAACCCCACCCTCTCTGCCAGCGTCCAGGAGGCCTGGGACTGCCTGCCTCTCACCCCTGCATGTCATTTTCTCCATGCTCCTGCCGTCTGGGCCCACCACGTGGCACGTCCCCAAGTCCTTAGAATGTCACTTTCCCCCTTCCCCTCCCTGCCTGAAATTTCTATCAGCCCTTCCTTCCCCCCAGAAGGCTCTTCCTCCAGTTCCTGCTCATCTTTTCGGTCTGAACTTAAATGTTGCAATGGTGTCCTTTCTCTAATTATGGCTTATTTGGGCTCCCTCTCTATGGCAGGGTTGTCTCGTATTTCCCTCCTGTCCCCAAGCTGAGCATGGCCCTAGCACGTGTCCCCTTTGCACTGGATGAAGGAGGGGCTGGAGGGGAAGATGTGGTGTCCTATGATGGAGGCTGGCTCTGGTGATCAGGGGCATGAGTTGACAGCCACAGAGGGTCTGAGGAAGCCCACAAAAGGGCCAGGGCACCCCCCTTGAAACTGGTAAGAAGGAGCCCTGAGAACCACAGAAGGAATGATCTGGACCCTGCCCCCTAGAATCCAGGGTCCAGGGACCACTAAGACCCACGAGGCAGACTAATACTCTACACTAACAGCCTGAGCTCAGTCTGTAGACAGGTAGCAGAAACTTAGGCAGAACACACATCATAAAAGTGACGGCCTCTGAGGGGAAAATCATGGGTGATGTTTTTCTGCACTGAACTGCATTTCATTTTCCAACTTTCCTACGATAGACAGGAGTTACTTTCATTATTTTTAGCTTACATAATTTAAAAATAATTTTCAGTACACAGCTCATGTGGGAATACATTTTCTTAATAAAAAAATTCCAACATTCTCCCTCCGCACCCCCTCTCTGAGCTAATAACCATGGCTAACAGCACGGCTAAGAGCTCGACATTCATCACAACAGTGTTAGAAACCCAGCTGGCCACAGGCAATCTGTAGCGCTCTTACAGGTACGATACGTAAATGGTATCCTATGTTTCATAAAGATTGCTTTCATAATCAGAGAAATGTATTGATTGACTCACTCAACCAGTACTATTGAACGCCTGTTTTATAACAGTCACTGATTTACTCTCAGGAAATTCAGCGGTAGAGAAAACAAACTTACTGGCCTCCTGGAACTCATACCCAAGTGGGGATGGAAAAAAACAGCCAATAAAAGGTAATTCCCAATCAAATATATATGCCAGATGATGACAGGTGCCATGGAGAAAAAGAGACCCAGGGTCAAGAGTGTGGGCTGGTTGAAGGAAATGCAATATTAAGTCAGGGGAGGTGAAGACACCCTGGAAGGTGTAGCAAGATGAGAACAGGGCATTCATGGTCTTCCCATTAAGCAGACCCACAGAGGTCTACCTGGGGGTGGGGTATCCCCAACCAGGATGAGAACGTAGGCAAGGGGAGGTGGGCACGGGCCTCTTTCTCGTCCCCATTTAAGACTGGCATAAAGAGGCCGAATGCCCTCTCCCACTGGCCCCAGCGCTGACAGGGATGCCTCTGGGTACCGAATCCACAAAAAGGTTGAGTCCCCAAGAAGAATCAAGTTCCACTGAAAAACTCGTGGGCTCGAATCACTCAAGCAAACCGTACACGAGGAAACTCAACTCAAGAGTCAAACCCAGATCACAGAATAGTTTCAAAACCATGGAGCGATGGTCTCCCTGCCACGCTGAGCGCCTGAGGAGGCCGCCCCTGTGGCCAGCAGCACAGTGCACCGTCATAACAGGTGCCTGTATTCAGTGTAGGACAACTGCACTCCTGGGGAAACATGGGGCATCCTACAGAACTTCTCTCGCGGAACCCCACAAACACTAGGCAGCATGGATACTATCCCCTTTCACAGATGGACAAAGCCATCTTCCTCTATTCGCTTCCTGTTGCCGCTGTAACGAATTATGACAGATGTAGCGGCTTGCAACAATGCCTACTTGCTTTCCCATAGTTCACTAGCTGGTCTAAAGGCAGCTGAGCCCTGATTAGTAAACCCTGGTAAATCACACTGCATCAGGCGTACACCCCAAATGCCCCAGCTGTGCCGAGAGCCAGGTGAGAATCCGGATCCCAGCTCCACGGCCAGCAAGCAGCCACGGGCTGGCTCTCATACTTGGGTGAGGTAGCCAAGGGCAGGGGAAGGAGCCTGACCAGGTCCTTTTAGCTGGGCTCTTCCAAGGGCAAGCCCTGGGACCTCGGACAAGTCACAATGCACTCCCAACATCCCAGCAGGGGTGTTCATCAGGATGCGAAAGTCTCACTCATTACTCTAGCCTCGGTGCCACAGCGACAATCTTCACGACAGCCCTGCCGGGAGATGCTCTTTGCCCATTTTTCAGACGAGAAAAGCAAAGCGTGGGGAGGGTAAGGGCTGCACCCTGGGCACGGGAGAATAGGTGGGGAGGCAAAGACTGTCCTCCAGGTGATTCAGACTCTGAGCCTCTTGCCTGGACCTTTCTCAGAAACTTCAGAGAAAACATCAGCCAGAAGAAAGGAAGGAAGGCTCCTTGTTCTGAGCAGTTACAAGGGCCCCGGGCCACATCCCCGGATGGGATGCAAGGCCAGCCATGCAAGCTGGCATCACCAGACTAGTGTGCTGAGTGAAGAGGTTCTCAGGCTGGGCAGAGACTGGATTTGATGTATCAGGAAGGGGCAAAGTGGAGAGGAGGACAGCTCCACCTTTTCAGGTGGCCAGACTTGCCTGTGTGGGGAGGGCATGCCTCCAAAAGCTCCACCAGCTCCTGGTCACGCTGAGGGTAGGGGAAGGACACTCTCCCCGGGAGACACAATGGTTGCCTGTGCCAGGAATGTAGCCGGAAGGCCTACAGGGGCAGGGATTGGACATGTTTTGTCTCCTACTGATGCCTTGCTATCCCCATACTGCCTGCAAAAACAAGTGTCTAGTAGGTGTTTGATGTATGAGCAAAAGACAGGACCATAGGGGGATACAAGGAGCTAGGAAATATCTTCGATTATTCAAGACAAATGGGCTGACGCCCTGTCAAGAAGAGAGCAGGCCGGGGCTCTGACCTAAGAGGGGCGCACTGTCCCAAAAGGAGGAAGACGGGGAGAAAAGGGACTGTAGCAGCCGGCTGGGAAGGGCCTGAACAGCTCCTCTTTGTGCATGATCCAGCCAGAGCCTTAGACATGAATGTTCAAGTCAGGGGTGAGAAGGCACTATTCGTGACCATGCTCTTAGGGTAAGGCTCTGAGTCCTGGGGACAGGTGGCAAGGACGGGGGGCACTCACTCACTCTTCAATGCTTTAAGCTGTTGTCTGACCTAAGGCAAGCCCCTTCCCCTTTCGGGCTAGTTTCTCTACGTGTAGAGCAAGGAGCATGGATGATCCCAATGTCAGATGGCCCCACTGAGTCCTCACACTCCATGCACTACATCACCTCACAACAGTTGCCAACCCCAGCCCAAATCCACAGTCCTAACCTGATACTGAAGGCTTCCAAAGATTAAGCGCTGACCCACCTTTCCTGGACTCTGATCCTATAGGTGCTTTCAGAAACCTGATGCATCAGCAACACTGGCCACGCTTTTCCCAAGCATGGCCCCCCAGGCAGTGTCCCCATCTCCGCCTCTGCCCGCACTGCTTTCCATGCCCAGAACATCTTTTCTAATCACCTAAAACCCAACCTTAAATTTTGGACTCCGAGGCCGCTTCACATCTGAAGCGTTTCCCAGTTTCTTAGTTCCACAGAGACTAAGGGGATACTCACCATTGCCTTGGCCCCCTCCCCCACAGCCCATGAGAACCTCAAGGCAGAAATGGAACATTCACAAAAACAAAATCACTGCCAAGTAACGAGAGGAGAAGGATGATCCAAACCAGTCTTCCTGGCGCCCCACCCCCCCTGGGCTGGCACACAGAATCTGCCCTGGGCTGGAGACTGTCTTGGGATCAGAAACAGCAGATGCATTCCTGGAGGCAGACTCACTCCAGGCCCCCTTCCAAGAGGTAATGGCAAACGTGGTTGAAGTACCTTGACCGTGTCCAGAGGGTGACCGACAATGACGCTGGCTGCACCTGTAGATCAAAGAAAAGGACCTGGTCACTCAGCCCCTGGGCTTCTCACGTGCGCGGGCTGCCTCTTGGGATAAGACAGGGGCTCAGGCACTCACATTCACTCATTCACTCAATGCCCAGTTGCCTCCCCCACCCGCAATGTGCCGGGCACTGGCAAAGGCACTGAGGAAGGCAGAGAAAAGGAAGTGAAACCTGGGCTCTGCCTCGAGAAACGAGCATCCCAAAAAAGGGCAGTGAGGGTGCTGGGAAAACTGGACACCCGCATGCCAAAAAATGAAGTTAGACCCCTACCTCATACCATACACAAAAAATGAATTCAAAATAGACCAAAGACCTAAATGGAAGTACTAAAACTATAAAAATCATTTACAAAATGCAGGAGGAAATCTTCACGACCTTAGATGGGCAACAGATTCTCAGACAGGACACTAAAAACACATATAACAAAAGAAAAAATGAGGTGGGTATCATAAGAATTAAAAACTTTTGTGCAGCAAAGGACACTATCAAGAAAGTGAGGACAACCTATGGACTGGGAAGAAATATCTGCAAATCATATATGTGATAAGGCTCTAGTATCCAGAATTTATAAAGAATACTTACAACTAAAAAAAAAAAAGAAAGGATTTTTTTTTTAAGGGCAAAGGATTTGAATAGGCATTTCTCCAAAGAAAAAACAAAATATACAAACGGCCAACATGTAAATGAAAAGATGCCTAACATCATGAGTCATTAAGGAAACGCAAATCAACATCACAGTGAGAGGCAGTCCCCCTTGTCACCTGCTACGATGGCCCTAATTTTTTTCTTTTCTTAAGGAAAATAAGAAGGGTTGGCGAGGATATGGAGGACTGGAATTCTTGTACGTTGCTGGTGGAGATGCAAAATGGTGCAGCCACTGTGGAAACAGTGTGTCGTTTCCTCAAGAACTTAAACAAAGAATTATCACATGGCCCAGCAATTCCACTCCTAGACAGATACCTAAAAGAACTACAACAGGCACTGAGACATGTCCATGAACATATGTGAGCACAGCAGCACTATTCATGATGACCAAATGGTGGAAACAGCCCAAATGCCCATCAGGGGGTGAGTGGGCCAATAAAATGCAGTAAATCCATAAAATGAATGTTGTTAGACATAAATAGGAATGTAGGGCCGATGCTCGCCGTCACGCGGGTGAAAGCTGAAGATGTGATGCTGAGTGCAGGAGGCGAGACACAGAAGGTCACGTATCATCTGACTCCGTTTACGTGAATTATCCCGAATAGGCAAATCCAGAGAGACAGAAAGCGGACAAGTGGTTGTCAGGGCCTGGAGAGAGGGGAAATAAGAATGACTTGTTGGGTCCAGAGACTTCCTTGGGTGTGAGGAACATCTGGAACTAGACCAGAGGGGGCTGTTGTACAACACTGTGACCATACGAAATGCCACTGAATCGGGCACCTTTAAATGGTTAATTCTACATTATGTGAATGTCACCTCAAATAAAAAGGGGAGGGTGTGAGGAGAAAACCCAGAAACTTTTCGGTTACCTGAAAGGTTACTTCATCTTTTCGATACCTCGCTTTTAGCATGTGTAGGTGGGAGTGGAACTGCCTCACAGTTCCATTGTAAGAATGAAGAGAGGTAATGATTGTAAAGTGCCAGCAGAGTCCTGGCTCTTATAGGCTGTTGAAAGAGAGATGCGGGGGCACCTGGGTGGCTCAATCGGTTAAATGTCTGATTTTGGCCCAGGTCATGATCTCACAGTTCTTGAGTTCGAGCCCCGCGTTGGGCTCTGTGCTGACAGCTTGGAGCCTGGAGCCCGCTTCAGATCCTGTGTCTCCTTCTCTCTCTGCCCCTCCCCCTGCTCATGCTCTGTCTCTCTCTCTCTCTCTCAAAAATAAACATTAAAAAAATTAAAAAAAAAGAGAGAGAGATGCTGCCACTATCCAGTTTTGTTTTGTTTTGAAGAAGGCCTCTCCTTTAAAGGATACTCTGGATTTCTCTTCTCACAGAAAAATGCCAATTGACACACATAATCACAAGGCTTGCAGTTTCAGAGGGAAGCAAGGCTGCTCCGAGGCCACACAGATGAAGACGCCCTTATAGAAGCTGGTGACTGCGAGGTTGAAATGGGAACCAATCCTCTATGACAAATTCCCCGTCACCCAGATGAGGAAGTTTCTCTGCTAGCAGCCGTGATTTCATCAGGTAAAACAGTGCTGGAATACTAGATGGGTAGAGGGGCAGAGGAAGCAGCTAACACCAGAACAGGTGTACCCTTGGTCTAGAACCTCCAGATCCCTCTCAGCCCCTCCTTCCCACAGAAGTGGGCAGAGGCAGAAAGGTGACAGTGGGAAGTTCACTCTACAGGAACCCCTCCCAGCAGGGGAAGAAAGGACCTCTGGTCCCAGACTCCAGTTGTTTCCTCCCTAGTGAGTGCAGCCTTCACTACAGGTGTCTCTTGGCCCAGGGAAGCAGACCCAGAGCCCATCTTGGACCTGTGTCTCCCTGCTCATGCATTAGCCCACCCACCTGAAAGCAGGAAATGCAAGATAAGAAACAACACAAGCAGGCCAGTGGTTTCCAGACCCGAGGACCTCACAGACCAGTGAAACTTCAAACAAAATGTAAAGGATACGATGGTGAGATTTTATTATGCAAGTTCATTAAGAAAGAAAATAGGTACAGATGAGTACAGGGGTTATGTCGGCCTGGCATCAGACTCTCTGCTCATGCCAGACACATGGCCTTGGACAAGTCACTGGATGCCCCTTTGTTCCCATTTCCTCGTCTGTGAAATGAGGATCTGTACGATGAGGATGTAAAACCTCACTGGGGTTATAAAGAAATATATAAATAGCCAGAAGACCGCACATTGTATGATTCAATTTATATAAAATGCCAAGAAAAGGCTAACTTATACAGCCAGAAAGGAAATTCACGGTTGCCCAGAGGGAGGGGATGGAATTTAACTGTAAACGGGCATGAAGGATCTCACAGGGAAGAAAATGGGCTAAAACAAATTTATGGTAAACGGCTGCACCACTGGTAAAGTCGCTAAAAATTACTGAATTACATACCTGAAATGAGTATATATTAGTATATGTAAAATAACCTAAAGAAAGTTGTTTTAATATTTGTTTACTATTTATTTATTTATTTATTTATTTATGTTGATAGCATGC